CCACAGGCCTTGCCAAAACGATCCTGCAAGGAACCGTACAAGGAAAGAGAAAGAGAAGCAGGCAGAGAAGGAGATGGGAGGACAACATAACTGAGTGGACAGGAAAGATGACGGGTGACAATCTGAGGAAAGCTGAAGACAAAAATGAACGGCGAGAGCTGGTTTTCAGATGTAGTGGTGCCCCCACAGTTGCCCCAACGAAGGAGGAGGAGGAGGGGGGGAGGAGGAGGAGGAGAAGCAGAAGGGGGAGGAGGGGGAGGGGGAGGGGGAGGAGCAGAAGGGGGAGGTGAGGAGGAGGGGTGAGGAGGAGGTTGAGGATGAGGGGGGAGGAGGAGGAGGAGGAGGAGGAGGAGGGGGAGGAGAAGAAACACTAGTGGCGGGCAGTTCCCGATTATTGCAAACTAGGAACCGAACTAATCGAGTCCGAACCCAGTAACTTTCCACTGTAGAGATTTCTTCCAGGTGTCCATGATTTTTTCCAGTGGTTCTGACCTCTAAACAATTACATGATTACTTCCGCCGATTAGCAATAATTTTTACTTCAGATGAATCCAACACCTCGCCAGTTTCGGTTACGTGGTCGGTTTCAAGCAGCTTCAGGACCCAGGACAACATCTACGAAACATGGCGAGACACAAACATTTTCCTTTTCAAAATTTTTTTTTTTTAAAAAGGAGAAGATTTTAATAAATAAAATAATATAGTAATTGTGAGATGTGCTGAAAAAATGAGTTACTTCTCACGACCCAAGAATGGAGATATCGGCTGAAAATCGACACTGGGGTCAGATTTATAGATTATCAATTGATGCCATTTTGTTCAAGTTTACTGTGTCTTTTACTATTCCATGCTCACAAATTGTACAAACTTCACCTATCAAGTTGATGTATCAATTTCCATAATGCTCAAATCTGAGAAGTAACTCATTTTGTCAGCACGCCTCACGATTGGTAATCGTTTACGCAAAAAAGAATGCGAACTTTTCTTCTGTAGCACTAGCCGCGGGAATCGGTTCCGGAATCGATTCTGCTCCCGGCTGTTCTAAACACACTAACCCTCACACTAACCCATCAACATCATCACCGAAAATTGTCAAAGGGCTGGGCACCTCGATCTAAACAGGTATGGAGTAATACTAAAAGCAGGCCTCTGTTCTAGATTTAGTAAGAGTTTTACAGCACTTGCAACACAATAAGGTCATATAAGTGCCGAAGATTAGATTTTAAAAAAAAATTCTAGTAGAGGGTTTTACGGCGCTCGCAACTGCATAAGGTCATATGAGCGCCAAGGGGTGGGTGTCAACAGAGAAGTCTTTACAGGGAATCAGACTTACTCTGCTCACCTCTCTAGCTTCAACAGCACAAGGTCTGCTTCGACTATCAAGGCACCTTGGAAATATCAGGTCACAAGAGTGTGACAAACATATAAAAGAAGTAGAGGAAAATGACAATAATAAGGATTAGGAAAGAAAAAGCAGCAGTTCCCTGTTGTAGATCTGGCACAGTTGTGAGCGTGACATGAATCAGCCCATTTACAATTCTACTGTGCTGGAACGAGAAATGTCCTCCTTTTGGGGAAGATTAGAGGTGTTACAAGAGAGTAACAAACATAAAAAATGAGGAGGGTACATAGAGACGATAAGATTTTTTATAGGAAACAAGGAGCAAACCACACCACAGCACCCGCCAACTACCCACAAGCAGGCCTCTACAAGATAAGATGAGATGAGATAAGATGTTGTTTTCAAACCCCTTTAGCTGCGAGTATTTCGCTCTTGGCAGCGCAATGCCTCCTTCAAGAAGCCACAGTTATGATAAGATAAAATACGGTAGACTAGATAATGTACTTGTATACTTTAATGGTCTTCCATTGGTAAAAAAAACATAAGGTTCTGCAACACAAAATATACATCACATCAACATATCACATTCTCCCTCTTGTATATAATATTGATATAATATATATACAATATATATATATATATATATATATATATACATGGAATGAAATGAGAAAAGTGCATCTCATTTTATGTTCAATTCATTTTTCTTCATCTCTCACTAGAGGAAAAAATCTTCCCATAAACACTTTTTCTTTTGTACATCATATGGACTACTCAGTGCCAAACCGCCGCACGTCACTTTCCATACGCCACTTTCCATAATGTCATATGTCACATGTCACTTTCCATAATGTCATATGTCATACGTCACTTTCCATATGTCATATGTCATACGTCACTTTCCATAATGTCATATGTCATACGTCACTTTCCATAATGTCATATGTCATACGTCACTTTCCATAATGTCATACGTTCATATGTCACTTTCCATAATGTCATACGTCACTTTCCATAATGTCATACGTTCATACGTCACTTTCCATAATGTCATATGTCATATGTCACTTTCCATAATGTCATATGTCATACGTCACTTTCCATAATGTCATATGTCATATGCCACTTTCCATAATGTCATACGTCATACATCACTTTCCATAGTGTCATACGTTCATATGTCACTTTCCATAATGTCATACGTCACTTTCCATAATGTCATATGTCATACGTCACTTTCCATAGTGTCATACGTTCATATGTCACTTTCCATAATGTCATACGTCACTTTCCATAATGTCATATGTCATACGTCACTTTCCATAGTGTCATATGTCATACGTCACTTTCCATAATGTCATATGTCCTACGTCACTTTCCATAATGTCATATGTCATACGTCACTTTCCATAATGTCATACGTTCATATGTCACTTTCCATAATGTCATATCTACTTTCCATAATGTCACACGTCACTTTCCATAGCGGCACATGGTGAAGCCGTACACTAGGCAGTGGATAAACAACATAATGTGTCCACTTGACTACTGTACCATTCATCATGGCAAGTAAATAGGACCTCTGCAAGAATCTCTCTCTCTCTCTCTCTCATAAGGTGTCCACTTGACTACTGTACCATTCATCATTCATAGCAAGTAAATATGACCTCTGCAGGAATCTCTATTTCTCTCGCTGACACACACACATGCAGTCTCTTTCTCTCTCAAATAATGTGTCCACTTCACTACTGTACCATTCATCATGGCAAGTAAATATGACCTCTGCAAGAATCTCTCTCTCTCTCTCTCTCTCTCACTGACACACACACACACAAGCACAGTCTCTTTCTCTCTCTCTCTCTCTCTCTCTCTCTCTCTCATTCCCTCTCCCTTTCTCTCCCCCTTTCTCTGTCTCTTCCTTTATATATCTCTCTCCCTTCCTTTATTTCTCTTTATCTTCTTATTACGCCACGCCTCTCTCTCTTTCACTTCTACTTTTTCCGTATTTTCTTCGTCCGTTTCTCTCATCCACTTCCATTTAATCCTGCCACTCTTCATCCTCCATCTCTCTCTCACCCTCTCTTCTCCTTACCCTACTGCTCTGTATCTCCAGCATCTCAAACTCACTCACATCCTTTCCCCCCCCTCTTTGTTCAGCCCTTTGGGCTTTTATGTGCGCCTAGAGAAAGGTACTAAAAGTTGCTCCAGACTGTTTCAAGCAACAGGCTGATAATGACAAAAATCTCTTTTTTGACCAAAATGTGTTTCTGTAAAAGAAATGATAGATCCACTAATTTTTTACAATGTGCTTAAAGGGTTTCCATTGATTTGACTTCTAAATATTTTATTTTGAATCATTTTGAGGGTAGGGTATAATAAAAGTAAATAATGAAAACTTCTTTTAAAAGGTTGTGAAAATTTACTCTTGAACTTGAAGCATGTTTTCTCTTCCCTGCTATGTTTTAACATTGAATTCCATTCATGATATAGATATCAACTGAATGCCAAATTGGAAATGAATTTTCCATGAATAAATACAAACTAAGTCGGGTTTTTTAAAGTTTGTAAGTGTTCTCACGTTTGTTAAACTTAAAAGCTCATTTTCTCCAAATTATATTTCTATACCTTACCTCGCAAAATGTGTGCAATATCTCAAAAACTACTTGAGATATCTACAAAACTCAAAGACCCCTATGTCCAGCATTGAATTTTCTATAAGGTACAACCCTATACTCAATGTGGTCAAAATCCGACTTTTGGTACCTTTTTTTAGGCACACACAGGTATATATGTGAGGTGTGCTGACAAAATGAGTTACTTCTCGGATTTGAGCATTATGGAAATTGATACATCAACTTGATAGGTGAAGTTTGTACAATTTGTGAGCATGGAATAGTAAAAGACACAGTAAACTTGAACAAAATGGCATCAATTGAAAATCTGTAAATCTGACCCCAGTGTCGATTTTCAGCCGATATCTCCATTCTTGGATCGTGAGAAGTAACTCATTTTGTCAGCACATCTCACATATACAAAAAAATCCCTTTACATGAAAAGGAACACTCCTTCCTTCAAACAATGACAATATGACGTCATAAATAATTATCAATTCACAACAACAAAAAACCAGGCTAAACAAACATCTGTTCTGGACCTGCATTAGAACTCCATCTCCCTTTTCATTTCCTTCTCTTTCTCTCATCACCAATTCTACTCTGTCTGTCTCTCTTTCTGTGTCTATAAATAGTTCTCTGTCTGTCTGTCTGTCTGTCTCTCTTTCTGTGTCTATAAATAATTCTGTCTGTCTGCCTGTCTCTCTTTCTAAGTCTATAAATAATTCTCTCTCTGTCTGTCTGTATCTCTTTCTGTGTCTATAAATAGTTCTCTGTCTGTTTGTCTGTCTGTCTGTCTTTCTGTGTCTCTATATCTCTTCCTCTCTGTTTGTCTGATTCTCTCTTTCCCTCTCTCTTTCTGCGTCCCTTCTTATATCCCCCCTCCTTTCCTCTATTTTCTCGCTTTCACTCTGTCTGCCTGTCTCTGTATTTTTGAGTCTCTATATCTTTTCCTCATCCTCCCCCCCCCCCCCATTCTGCTCTCTGATCCTCTCTCCCTCTCTCTCTCTCTCTCTCTCTCTTTTTCTCTCTCTTTCTCTCTCTCACACACAAACATACATTCACTCACTCAAACACACACACACAGTCCCTCCCTCCCTCACACACACACACACACACACACACACACACACTCCCTCACTCTCTCCTGGCTTCAACTACCATCCGTCCGCATCTCGTTAGGCCAGCAGCTCATAACTGCGGCAGGGTGGGGGGAGAAGAGAGTGAGGTATGTTCTGCCAACGATTCCTCCCTATCCTCCTCCTCCTCCTCCTCCTCATCCGATAACGAAGTAAGAGGAGCAGCCACAGCGCCAGCAAGCATTTGGTAAATGTGCTGTTTGGCTTTACTCTCTCGTCTTATGCCTCCTGAAAGGGGACGGAAATCTTGAAGCATTTGCATTATATGAACCGCAGATTACCATAACATGGTTAGAAAAATAATAAATTTTTCTAAAATAATTTTTTTTAGGTAAAAAAAAGCTCATTATACTGATAAAACTTATCAAAAACACATTCAGAATAGAACCTTCAATTCTCCTCCAGATATGAATATAACGGAAAGTAAACGTAAAGAGTAATCTTTTAAGGGGAAAAAAAAGAAACAAAAAAAAAACAACAGAATGCATGGTTAGTAATATAAAAAAAAAGCAGTAATTCCCATATCTAACCTCATAAATTAAAGTGGGAAGATCACACTAGTTCAATAGTTTAAATTCGAAAACGAGGAAGAAGAAGAAGAAATAGTTTAAATATCTAGGATAATCAGTCTCTTTGTGTCTTTCGTAGCAAAATTTCTCATCCATCTGCTTGCTAGGCCAGTCATTATGGGTTCACTTTTAAGGACAAAATAACACAGGAGGCAAACCCTAAACATCACAAGAGGAGAGACAGTAAGATCATATGTGAGGCAGCGTGGCAGAATCAGGCTCTCATCAATTTTTGGGCATGTAGAGTTATTGGTATCATCTTAAAGCATGTTCATTTGTTTTTATTTGGGTGGAAAAAATATAAATGTATCTTGAATACATGTCGATATATTTGCGCATAAAGGAGGTGGGGATCTCCTGTTTTCAGAGGTAAAATAAGTGAGAAAATGGCCGTCAAAGATTAGTTATTTCCTTAGCTTAAGTGCCCGTGATAACTGAAAATTAACATTTTTTGTGCCTTTAATTGTTTTTCAGAAAAATCCACATGGAAATGAGTTCTTTAATGGGCATGAAAGGTGTTGAGCCAAAAAAAAAAAAAATTTGATACAAATTCACAAACCTGCGGAAAAATGCAAGTTTCTTCACTTTGATTATTTTGACGAGAGCCTGATTCCATCGCGCTGCCTCACATATAAGAGCAGCTCTTGGCATGGAGGACTACCTTCATCTCACAGAAAAACAAAGAACAGAACGGTTTGGCCACCTGTTCAGAAAAGCAAACCACCTAGTTAGCCGACCTTGTGGTGAGACATAACACGAAGAACTCACTCAAGGCTCACTGGAAGAGATAGGTCATGCTAAAGGATGGATTGAGTGGGAGGTCAAGGGAACCCCGAGAAACTACAATATCTCTATTGAAAGAGCTTTAGAGTCGGCCTACCAGAGAAAACTGCAAACTACAATATCTCTATTGAAAGAGCTTTGGAGTTGGCCTACCAGAGAAAACTGCAAACTACTATATCTCTATTGAAAGAGCTTTAGAGTCGGCCTACCAGAGAAAACTGCAAACTACTATATCTCTATTGAAAGAGCTTTAGAGTCGGCCTACCAGAGAAAACTGCATCCCCCCCATGACACTCAACGACAGCAGTGGATGAAAGAGGAGAAGTTTAAAGTAGAATTACATCCCATCCCAAACATTTCCCAGAAATAAAACTAATTGCAATAGCTTAGGTGCCTACGAACAGTTTCAACAAAATGAGACCAATCTTTAAAAACAAAAAACAACAACCCATCTCCATGACAACTAAAACAAGAGTACTAACTCTCTAAGACAAAGAAGATACACGTCTGATCAGCAGCAATCGTACACATATCAAAGACAGGAATCTGCTGATTGCAGGTAATGAGATAAAAGGCTATGCTTGGTCAACCTTTCTGCAGACTTGCCTACTGTTACGGATAATCCATAACTGTAACGGGAAAATAATATTGGAGTTACAGAAAGCTGAAATATGTTACGGAAAACTTCATCCATTAAAAAAAAAGAAAAAAAAAGAAAAATGAAAAAATAATAGCTGGGGAACACAACTTGGAACCCGGTTAAATGTCTTAATCCTGCGTAAACGCAGCTAATGAGTGCAATTGATCATTGACCTATAAGGCTCGTTGAAGCAACAAGCATGCTGCCTGCAACTATGCCGCTGGGTTTACGGGAAGCTCACCGGGTCACGATTGTGTCAGGAGGTCAATAGTCTTTGGTTTGTTTTTCGTTAAAGTCAAATATTTTCAGTGACTACGCCCTTGTCAAAGGCCAGAAGAAAAGGGTGATGTTGAAAATGAAAACAAAGCAAAAGGTGGTGCGAATGATAAGCCCTAAAGCCCCTAATAATAGCCTATCGCACTAGGATTTCGCAAGTCACAACGGCGATAGATCTCGTCATTTGAAGTTTACGTGCAACCGATGAAAAGCAAGTCAGTTAGCTATGCTTAGTCTTCCATAAGGTAAATAGGCCTACTATGTTATAGAATTTTATCATTTGACACGCAAGTTGTTAGCGATCCAGTAACATCTGAGCGTTAACTCTTCTGCAATGTTACTGATTTTTAAATTTTAAAGTAGGCAAGTCTGCCTTTCTGCACCAGTGCGGGCTATGAAAGGTGGACAATTACCAGAGACAGTGGAAATAAAACAGGAGGCACAAACATGTGGTTTCTTCGGAGACTTGTCGATAATTTCGTGCAAGACAGTGAAAATAAAACAAAAGAAACAAAAACTACGGTTTCTTCGGAGACTGGTGACAGTTTCATGGAAGACAGTGAAAATGAAATGGAAACACCCCACACGCATACACACACAAAAATGGTTTCTTCATTGACTGTTGAAAATTTATGGAAAGCAAAGAAATCAAATGAGGTAGCACTTATGAAGCCCGCGTAGATCGTTCACACAAGAAAAAAAAATTCAGATGCGACAAATGCAGTTTCTGGGACACACAGATATCGTCATAAAGGTCTGGAACATCTTGCTCTTGTTTGAAAAGCAGGGGAGGCAAAAGAGGCAGGGGAAGACCAATAGCAACTGTTACTTAGAGAACCAGAACAGATGGACGACAAGGAAGGACGAGGACAATATCCACAGCACCATGTAAATCTCCGCTATACGTACACCATTTTGAAAAGTGACGTACGACAGAGCCGTACATGGAGCAGTCGAAATAGTTGGGCGTTATTTTTTTTTTGAGCATCCGGCGAAGAAATGAAAGGCAAACCATGATCACGGATGTCTGCTTCAGATCTGGCACTTTATGATGATGGTCCATGTTTTAGTACAGAATTTTTAAATACATTACCTAAATGTACAGTGCTCTTTGAGTCTGTTTAGTGTCTTGATTATTGGGTGAAAATGTCAAAGGATAAGAACGCCCCATTGGGGATTCGAACTAAGATCTTCGGGTGTGTGTGCGTTTGTGTGTGTGTGTGTGTGTGTGTGTGTGTGTGTGTGTGTGTGTGTGTGTGTGTGTGTGTGTGTGTGTGTGTGTGTGTGTGTGTGTGTGTGTGTGTGTGAGCATGCATGTGTGCGAGCATGTGTGTGTGTGCGCATCGCTGCAAACATGTGTATGAGCATGTGTGGAGTGTGCGTGCATGTGTGTGTGAATGTGTGTCCGTGTACGTGTGTGTGTGTGTATGTATGTATGTGTGTGGGTGTGTGTGAATGAGTGCGTGTGCATGTGTGTGTGTGTGTGTATGTGAAGGTGAGTGTGTGAGTGTGTGTATGTGTAATGTGAGTGTGTGTATGTGAAGGTGAGTGTGTGAGTGCGTGTGTATGTGTATGTGTAATGTGAGTGTGTGTATGTGAAGGTGAGTGTGTGAGTGTGTATGTGTGTAATGTGTGGGTGATGCGTGGCACCTACCTGTATGTCTGCTCTCGGAGAGGAGGGAACTTCTCCGTCTGCCTGCCGGGTCACCGGGTTTGGGTACCTGGCTCTTGAGGGAGAGGAGGGTGTTGGGCCCTTTCTTGTCCCTGTCTATGACTCCGACCTCTGACCTCTGTCTCTGGGAAGAGAGAAAACATACACAGCTGGATAAGACAAGATAAGACAAGACAACATAAGATAAGATAAGATGAGAAAAGATAAGAAAAGATAAGATGAGATAAGATGAGATAAGATGAGATGAGATAAGATGAGATGAGATGAGATGAGATGAGATGAGATGAGATGAGATAAGATGAGATGAGATAAGATGAGATGAGATAAGATGAGATGAAATAAGATGAGATGAGATAAGATGAGATGAAATAAGATGAGATGAGATAAGATGAGATGAGATAAGATGAGATGAGATGAGATGAGATGAAATAAGATGAGATGAGATAAGATGAGATGAGATAAGATGAGATGAGATAAGATAAGACAAAACAGGAAAACATAAGATAAGATGTTGTTGTTGTTGTTGTTAGCGATCCAGTAGCATCTGAGCGTTAACTCTTCTGCATGATGCCATTCGGTAATAGCTGCATGT